CCACTTTTAGCTATATGTTTAAGCAAAAAGAAAACCTACATTCACACAAAAAAACTGTACATGAATGTTCAGAGCAGCGTTATTCATAATCACCAAAAAATGGAAACAACCCAAATGTCCATCGACCAGTGAATGGATAAAATGTGGTCTAGTGCTCTCTTTTATGTGAACTGTCCAGAAGAGGCAAATTCACAGAAACAGAAAGCAGACCAGTGGTCACCTAGGGCCGGAGAGTGAGTGCGAGGCCAGGCGGGGAACGGAAAAGGCTTTGTAATGCGCACATGGCTTCTTTCTCAGATGACGCAAATGTTCTCAAATTATCGTGCTGACGGTTATACAACTCTGTGAATATACTATAAACCACTAAAATGTACACTTTAAATGGGTGCATTATATGGTATGTGAATTATATCCCAAAAGAGCTGTTAAAAAAAAAAGTTAACAAGAAAATAAAATACACTAAGCAGTGAATGCCAGGCTTTTAGAAATAGATTTCATGTTTCACTTATAATCTACATAAATGTCAACTGAAACAAATAAGAACCACAGAAATTCTGTATGGAGGGAGCAAATGGACTTTTGCTTTACCTTTGTTACCTGCACCTCTGAACAGAGACTAGCTCTCTTGCAAAGCCTGTTGGTTCTCCATCAAGGTTATGACGTAGAGGCTGGAGTCGTGACAGAACCGAGTCAGCTGTAATAACCCTGTGGCTTTTTGGCCATTATAGGCAGGTTTGGGGCCACATATACTGCTGGGGACACTTCAGGCCCATTCAAGACAATGACTAATAACTGTCCTAATGGCTTTAGAGGTGGACAAAGCGTTGCTATGCACACTTCAATCTGATCACCACACGGGCTGCGATGGCCATTTCACAGACGTGGAAACTGAGTCCTGTTTAATTCAAAGCCTTGTGCGAGGCCAGAAACCAACAACACCAAACCTGATGCCAGGCCTCCTGACTTCAAGTCTAGTGCTCTTTCTCCCTCACCTGCCCAGAGAAGTCCTCTTTGAGTCGCATGCTAGGTACATCTAACGTGTGGAAATTCAACTTCATGTGCTCAGCAAAATAATGAGAGCGCTAACTCGCAATGCAGAGCTAGGGAGCACAGATGATGCCACACATCTTTTCACACAGTGACCATAGGCCCTGGAGTGGGCACAGGACAGAGGTCACAGGTCCTCTGCTCGGGCACCCACTGTACTGAGTAAGAAGTACATGTTTAAAGAGCGTTCTCTTTCCTTTAAATAAAACAGGATATTGTGGTATGTGTACTTTTTCTCATGTCAGTTACATTACTGCACGCATTATGCATTCTTTATAAGGTTGTATTCACAACACTTTAAATATTTTACTTCTTGGGTCATTTAAGGAATTCTCGAGAATTTGGAGCCCTCATGATTTCTATCTTAGGAGCTGACTCTGGACCTCAACCCGGCAGCGAAATGCAGCACAACTGAACCGTGAGTCCCCATTAGCTTAGATCTTGGTGGACAAGAACTCAAGCCCTTATAGATGGAAGGAGACAAACATGAAAAACAGTATGTTAACCCTTTCCTACCTCCTCTACTTGCAGAGTTTCTCTTTCAAGTTTTTCAAGTAGCTCATTTCTCAGCGAGATCTCCTTTTCCAGAGTGACGGAAACTTCCATTGCTCGGTGTAGCCTGGTCTGAAATATAACCACACAGCAAGTCTTGAGCAATGATGCTTCGTTGGGGCTACACAAAGGAGGGATGGCTCTTCACGGAGCAGGGAAAAGCAGGAACCTGGGCCCGCCCTTCTCACAGCTGCCCAGGTCCTTGGAGTCGGTGGGGTGAGGAGGGGACCTTGGGGACCTTGATCTTGTCCTCACCTTCAGAGTAGCCAGACACCGGGGCCCGAATCCCACCACACCACTTACTAAGAGGGACTCTGGGCAAGGCTCTAAACTTGGTCAGGTCGCCTGGGCGGGTTGCGGAGAGCCTTCGGGGAGAGAATGAAGGGCTGACACGTGGAGAACTTTCGGGGAGCAGCTGCCAGCACTATCTCACTCAGATGAAGAGGGGGAAACGCTCCCCAAGCAGTAGGTGCTACTGCTATATGCCCCCTATACAGGAGGAGAACTCACTCTTGCTGGAAAGAGAGCTGAAAGGTTGAGGCAAGTGTGTCCAGGTAAGAGAGAAGCGAAGAGCATTCCAACCCGAGGGAAGAACCTGGAAAGGAGGATCTGAAAGGAGCCGGGAGGGAGGCAGGCGCTGGGGCGACGTCCCAGGGCCTGCTGTGGGGAAGGGGAGGCAAGTCAGGACTTCACTGCAAACCAGCCGGGAGGGAAGAAAGGAGAGAAAGGGAGCCGTCACTCCACAACTTAGACACGGGACAGGAGACAGGGGCCCCGCGAGGGCAACCGCAAGGCGCCAGGCGGTCCTGGCTCCGGTGGCGCAGGGCCTTTGAGAGGATGTGGTGGGAGCTACTTGTGATTCTGAGCAGGACGGCAGTCACTTGAGGCGGCTACGTCTGAAAAGGCACATTAGCCTTCTCTTGCGTGTAAGGGACGACCACAGACTTTGTGGCTTAAAGCGACGCGTTTGTCATCTCGCGGTTTCCATAGGTCAGAAGTCCAGGCACAGTGGGGCTGGATTCTCTGTGCAGGGAGGGCCCCCGGGGCTGAAATCAAAGTGTTGGCCAGGGCTGGGGGTATTGTTTGGGGCTGGGGTCCTCTTCCAAGCTCACGGGTTGTTGGCAGAATGCACTTTCTTGAAGTTGTGAGACTGAGGTCCTTGTTTTCTCTCCGGCTGGCAGCAGGAGGTGGCCCTCAGCTCCTCCGGGACACCCTGAGATCCCGTCCCCGTGGCTCCCCCTCTCTCTGAGCCAGCAATGGAGAACTTCTCACCCAGCAAACCCCCTTCATGCTTTAAATCTCTGACTTCCTCTTCCAGAGAAAACTCTCTGCTTTCAGGTTCATGTAATTAGGTCAGGCCCACCCAGGTAATCGCCCTATTTTAAGGTCAGCTGTGCCATGTGACATAATCTAATGATAACGGAACGTAATAACAGAACCTGCCCTACCCGCAGTCCTGGGGACTGGACAGGATGTTTACACCAGGAGGCCGCGAGTCTTGGGGAACGTCTTAGGATTCTCCCTACCACAAGGCACCACAGTTTACAGTCAGTGAAGAATGACGTGGTCGAGTGAAGTGAGTAAAGCAGGGCCAAACACACAGTAACGGAAGGAAACTAGACCAGGTGATGAGCACGCAATAGCGTGGACAGATGTGGAATTATAATGTTGCACAACTGAAAATTATATAATGTTACGAACCACTGTTACCCAATAAGTTTAATTTAAAAAACACAGTTAATCAAAATTTACTAAATGCTCTCAGATAATTAAGCATATAAATGTTTAAAAACGATACATCGCAGCTGTAGTCACATGCTTACACTATACCAGAGCCTTCCACGCAGGGTTTATGGGCATAAAGTTGGAGAAGAAGGTGCTCCCTTGACTGAGGCTCACTCACAAAACCCAGAAGAGCCCACGGTCACCTCCTTCGTGGCTGCCCCAGCAGCACCTTGCCCTGTTGTGACATGCTGCGGGTACTCTGCACAGTCGCTAATAGAGGAAAGCTGTTCTGCGCATTGTTAACAAGGTCTCACACTTGGGTGTTAGACATCCGTATGAAAGTCGACCCTCCCACCCCCTAAACACACGCCTGAATCACTAGCAGTTCATTCAACAATAGTGGTGAGCACCTGCTGTGGCCAGCCATTGTCCTTGGTGCTGGGGACACAGCACAGACCAGCCATTCTGGTGGCGAGGCACAAAAACCCACCTCTGAGAGGTGAAGCATCGTGCCTGGGGTCCCCAGTGGAGTCCCCATTCAACCCCAGGTGAGGCCTGACTCCACCACTCAGCGGCTCCGCCTCCCTTTCCCTGGGGAGACCTGAGAACTAAGATGCCGAGGAAGTGAGCCTGCTTCTCCCTCACTGCGTCCGCCCTGGGACTCCTGTGGGGATCTCCTCCCAAGCTCCACCGTCTGCTTACTAGTATTTGCAACCAGCCTACAGGTGTGATGGCCCCCGGGATTCACTGCAGCTTGTGTCACTGCTGCTCAGGTATCACGAACGACCTGCTCTGTGTGCTTAGACCTGTCCCAAAGAGCTCGGGCTCTGCATCCTTGCAGTTTCATTTTATAAACCAGTGGCTCCACTCCAAAGCCCTGACTTTTCCCCACAAGATCAGACAGGCCTCGTGTCATTTAGTAGGTTTTGCAGGATAAGATCAAGGTCCAAAGTGATGTAACCTTGTGCTGCCCAGCTCTCTACCAACAAGGGCCTGAGAGTCACAAGGACTGGCTTCATCTTGAAATAACAGCGATCAGATAAACTAACTACTGATGAGATAATCTCACAGTGGATGATCTGCTGGATGTTTAGGACACGTGAGTTTCAGGATGCCAGCACAATCCTGTCAACACACTTCGCTCCGGGGACAGATGGCTGGGTTAGGTGGGACACGCACTGGACTAGGAGCCCCGGCTCTGTCACAAACTTGTTGCTCGAATCTGGCAATGACTCTGCCTCGCTGGGCCTCAGGTTTTTCTTTTGTAAAAAGAAAATATTGGCCAAACATCAGCCTAGTGTAAGCACATTCAAATTCACATTTTAAAATGATACCGTGTGAGTCAAATAAAGCCCACCTGTCAGCCACCCAAGCCTCTAGCTACTGCTGCCATCTGGGCACTAGGCCAGGGGTCAGCAACCTTGTTCTGTAAATAGCCAGACAGATAGTAAGTATTCCAGGCTTTGCAGGGCAAGAAGCAAAGTTGAGGATATTGTGTTGATATTTATGTTAAGGAGAGAAAAAACAAATTTCCACAAACGTTTTATTGATGAAATTTCAAATATAATAATGAAGTATGATATTTTGGAATAGTTCTACTAATGAGAAGAATGAAACTTCTAGGGGAGAAAAAAACAATTTTGCTTAATCGGGTTTCAAGGGTAGTGCTCTCTATCAAACTGGTTGCAAATGTTCTTCTGTGAAAACTATTCTTGGCTCAAAGGCCAGTGGGCAGGATACACTGGCCCACAGTCATCTGGCCACTGCATTTGACAGTTGCTAGCACGGTGACCAGACAGCCTGCTCTGCCGGGGACAGGCCTTGTTCACGCCTATAGTCCTGCTTAATTATTAATAGTGCCTCTTTTTCTCTAAAAAGGGGTATGTGTGAGTGAGGAATTATTTAGCAGTTTTCTGATTTACAGCTAAGGTGGTTTTCTTCTGTGGGGATGTGCTTACGACATGCCTAAATTAAACAGAGCCCTAAGCGTGGTAAGTTCTCAAAACCTACTGGGCATAAAAATCATCTGGGGTGTGAAAAAAAAAAAAGATGCATGGGAAATAAGTCGGACAGAAAAAGTTGAAAACCACATGACATCCCTCATATGTGGGATACAAAACTGAAAGCAACAGACATGACAAATGGAGACTCATGGACACAGACAGGGGGTCGTGGTCACCAGAGGGGAGGGGTCAGGGGAAGGTAGATAGAGGTGAAAGGGGTCAAATATTTGGTGACGGAAGGAAATCTAACCCTGGGCGGTGAGCATACGATGCAGTATATATACGACTTATCGTTGAATGATACACTTGAAACTTATTTGATTTTGTTAATAAATGTCGCCCCAATAATTTTTAATTAAAATAAAAGATGCATGGCCCTTACTCCCTAATTCAACTTGTCGGGATGGGATTAGGGTGTCCTCGTATCTTTTTAAAAAGGAAAAGCTCCCCTGGGTTGTGGGGACTTTCAAAGTATTTTAAGAGACGTGGCTTTGATGAGAGAACTCGAGGAACAGTGGGGGAGTCAAGGATGCCTGAGCCCTCCATGGGACACTGCAGTGGCGTGTGGGAACCTCATTGTGGCCGGCAAGTCCGGGGCGGGAAGCCCTGGGTACCTGCGCTTAGGGGCGGACCTTACTTTGTACGTGTGGAGGATTTGCAGGGTGCTGCCAGATGTCAACTTTAGCTGGATCAGTTCTTGATTCCTTGCTTCAATCGTCTCTAGAAACTGAGCATTCTCGATCTTCAGCTGCTGAAAATCAACATCGTGGAGGGCCTCGCCCACCTCTTCCTTCTATAGCGCAGAAAGAAGAAAGAAATGATGTGAGGTCATGACCTCGGAGTATACGGCTCACGCCTTGCAACTCCGGGTGAGATTCTGGAAGTCGGCCATCAGTTGGTCATTTGACAAACACGGATTGGGTATCCACTTGGTGCCAGGCATGGTACCAGGCCCTGGGGATAGAGATTTGAGTAAATACAAGACTCCCTGGCCTCGAGGAGCACATACGCAACAACTGTTCACAGACAGGTCACAATGTGGTAAAGCGGGGTGTGTGGGCACCAGAAGCCCTTCGGCCAGGCCGGGGGAGAATGGAAGCTGGTCAGGGAAGGCTTCCCACAGTGGGCAGCACCTAAACAGAGCTGTGAAGGAAGAGTAGGAAGGAGGCCTTTAAAAAAAATTTTTTTATGGTGACATAGGTTAATGAAATCCAGTAAGTTTCAGGCGTACAATTTAACAGTTAAGGCATATATATACATGTGTATGTGTGTGTATATATATATATATATATTGCATTGTGTGTTCACCTCCCATAGTTAGATTTCTTTCTGTCAACGCATATTTGACCCCTTTTACCCCGTCTACCTCCCTCCCCGCTTCCCCCTCCCCCGTGTTAACCACTAGTCCATTGTCCATGTCCATGAGTCTCTGTTTGTCCTGTTTGTTTGTTGCTTTTAGGTTTATATCCCACATATAAGTGATATCATGTGGTTTTCAACTTTTCCTGTCTGGCTTATTTCGCTTAGCACGATTATCTCAAGGTCCATCCATGTCGTCGCAAATGGCAGTATTTCATCTCTTCTTAGGGCTGAGTCATATTCCATTGTATATATGTACCACAGCCCCTTTATCCAATCATCTATTGTAGGGCACTTGGAAGAAGACCATTTCAAAGTGACTTTTAACCTAGAAACCCAGGACAAGCAGCCTGGGTCATGTGCCGTTTCCTCACGGCAGCTGTATAAGGTGTCGGGTCCCCTCCCTGACCCAGCCCCGCCTTCCCTGCCCACCAGGGCTGTGCCGTTTCACCCCTGTGGTAGGCGATGGCCAAACTTGGGACTGCACTGTACTCACCGCGCACCTCCTCGGAGCCATCTCCTTCCCGCAATTGCCTTGCGCCCCAGTGTGACTCATCCTCTGGCTCCCTCTCCCGCCTGTCTCCCACAGCGGAGGGCACCGCCGTCTCCCACCGAGCCCCTGGAGGCTGCGGCTCTGTGGTCCTTGTGGCCGCTGCCTCTGCCTTTTCTCACCACCACCTCTCCCTGCGCGTCCGTGAGCTTGCGAGAGCACGACCACGTCAGTGTCATCTCTATGCAGCGATGGCTTTTAGGTTAAAGGCCATCCGTCCGCCGACTCCCCGTCTCAGGATGCCTGAGCTTGCCTGACACCAGAGGACCAGGAACTCACTATCTGGAGGCAGCTCAGCTGGGCTCCGCTGGGGCCACGTTCTTTCTTCCACTGAACTTGAATCTCCCGAGCCGACATCTCCATCCCCACCCCCACCTCTACCCTAGCTCTGCCCTCAAGGCTCTCACGGTGGCGTGTCCTGTCCTCTTGGCAGTGCCCAAGCACTTGAAGACAGCGCCCTCTCTCCTCGGGCCCTTCAGTCCCAGCTCCAGCTTGAGCTGCTCAGAACGGAGAGGAGCGAGACCACCCCTTCCTCGGTGAGCCGCTGTGGTTCTCTGAGTGCATCACCTCCAGCGGGGCTGACTTTATCAGGTACTCTGTGGCTAAGCCATCCGGTACCTGTGTAGATATTTGGGGGACCAAAGTGGAGGATCTGACATTTGTCCGTATTCACTTTGTGTTGTTAAGGCTGTCCTGGCTTGTCGAGGATTTTGAGATCCCAAGTGAACCAACAGTCCCTTGGACACGTTAATTTTCCTGCCCAATTTTGTGTCATTCTCAGGGGACCCTTCTGATGTGCACGCCATCGGTCCATACTCAGGTTAATAATAAAATAATGAGCTAGAAGAGGACAGAGCCACATAAGCACAGTCTGGAGACCCTGTGCCACGTCGGCTTTATGCCTTTAGTCAGGAGCCTTAAGGCTCAGCTGTTCAAAGACTCACCGGAGCACTCTGTGACTGTGCCACCCAGGCTGCATTCCCCGAGAGAGCCAACAAGACTGTCATGAGGCTCGTTTAAAGTCAAGCCAACTCTGCCTACAGATGTGCCAGCACAGTAACTATATTAGCTTCCTATTGCTGTTGTAGCAAATCACCACCAACTCAGTGGCTTAAAAACACACAAATCTATTATCTTAACAGCTCATAAAGTCAGAAGCCCAAATGGTTCTTTGGGCTAAAATCGAGGTGTTGGCGGGGCCGCGTTCCTCCTGGAGGCTCTAGAGGAGAATCTGTTATCTTGCCATCACCAGCTTCTAGAGGCTGCCTTTGTTCGTGCGACCCCTCCCTCTATCAAAAAGCACATCATTGTGATCTGTGCTTCTGTTATCACACCTTCTCTTACTCTCACTCCCTCTTATAAAGACCCTTGTGATTACATTGTGCCTCCGTCTTATAAAGACCCCTGTGATTACATTGTGCCCGCTCAGATCATACGAGATCATCTCTCTATCTCAAGATCTCTGACTCAATCACAGCTGCAAAACCCTTCTGCCATGCGAGGCAACATATTCAGATTCCAGGAATCAGGACACGGACATCTTTGGGAGGACACTATTCTACTTCCTACGGGAACCTTACGGAGAGAAAGCAAAAGCCACATACCTGCCTCAACTGTAAAAGCATCTTTTTCCTCTGGACTTTGAGAGAAACATTTTTCAAACGTAATTTATCCTTCATGTTATCCTAAAAAAAATACAAGCAAATTTTAATCCATTTCTCTTCTTCTTCCTCTTTGGTTTGAAAAGTTGGTAAGTCTGCAGCTATAAACCTAACCTTGATCCTAATAGTCAGTCATTTATTTTTAGGTCTTTTTACATCTACCCAAGCTGGTGTTGCTATAGCCTTTCATTCATGTCCAAGAAGCAGAGGAAGCTGGATCTGCTCCATGCAAATTTTCTATTGCTTTTAAATTCAAGATCAGTTGGGTATAGGGGCCTTTCCTGACAAAATGATCTTACAGTTCTTTGGTTCTTTATACTCTTTGTAGTTTACATCATTTTTATTACTTACAACATGTTAGAGTTAGTAAGCCTGCATATCTCTTGGATCCAAAGCTTGATATGCTACACAATCTTTGGAAGTAAAGGGGCATTTTATGTCTTATTCTTATAATAATGAAACTCAAAGAGTTTGAGAGATACCTGCCCCACTCCACGCAGTCACCTGCCTAGAAAACATATCAGTTCTTGAAACAAATGGCAATGATAAAAAAAGAAGTCCTCTGAGATGCTATTCATATTCACCCCCCCTGATTGATTTTAGCCTTGACAAACTTGCATTTTTCACTTTGGGGAGAGTGCAAAATCTGTACGTGTGAGCAATATATATAGTGGACCAAATGGGGTGGGGCTGCCTCATTTTTAAGTTATCTTTTTATGAATCTCTTTTCCCTTTCTAAGCCCTAACCTCTTGCCAACTCACCCTCCGGCGGTTCATGTCCTCGATGTACTTCATCACTCTCTGAGTGGCCAAGATACTCCCTTTCTTCTTGGATATGGTTTTTAGAATGTCTTTTTTAAACTCGTGCACTGCTCTCCGAATTTCAGTCCACCGAATCTCAGCCTCCTCAATGATAGCCTTGGGAAGTCAGCACAAAGAGAGAACAGGTTCCAAACCTTCTCAAGGGTCTAGAGCCCCGTAAGAACACCCGAGTACCCAGGCCGCTTTGTGCCCCAACACATAGTGCTTCTTCTTAGTCTTATAAAGATATCCTTCAGATACAAATTTGACTATACAAATGTTATTATGTAAAAATATGCCTCAGAAGTTATAATATCCATAAAAAGGGGGTGAACAAACAAAAACAGGGCCTCAGGTATCTACATAAATATGTATTTCTATACCTGAAATGTTTTATTATGTATCTATTAAAAATTATGATGTTACTATATGACATAACATGATATCATATAATAATACCTAGAAGGTTATACACCTAAACATTAACCACAGTCACAGTGAGAGAAATGGGTTAGTGGGGGCCAAAGGAACACTCTTACTATATACTTCTGTAGTTTGAAAAAAGATGTTATGAACGAATATATGTGTTGACACGGAAAGACGTTAAGTGAAAGCATGGTTATAAAATGATACCTTTTTATATGAAACTCTAGAAGATAAATACCAGAGTCAATGGTAATAACCTCTGGGTGATAAGACTGTGGATGTTTTCAGATGTGCTCCCTTTAGCTTACCTGTATGTTTAAATTTTGCTACGATAAACAGATTGTCTTTAAATAAGAAAACACAAAAACACACACGTTCTTTTAAAGAATAAAGAAGTTATCTGTAGCTGCAGAGCAAATCATCCTCATTCAGGTTTTTTCACTGGGCACCAAGAAGCGAGAGTGTCTTCCTTCACTGGCAGGCCTGTGGCCCCCACCTCTCCCTCCCCATCATCTTCACATGCTAGGACATTGATCACCTTAAAAGCCATTTTCAATCTGTCAACCTCCTGCTCAGTTATCTTCCCTGGGGTCCTGCTTTCTAAGACAGTGAAGATAAACTCCTAGGCCTGGCTTCCAAGGTCTCACAGCCCTGCTCAGTCCCATTTCCTAATACAGCTCCCAAAGCCCCCTCTTCTCTAATCACACCAGCCCCCTCAATGTCAAGAACGTGCCACATTCATTCCCACCTTCACTTCTTTGCTCGGGTCATTTGCCCTACCTAGGGGGCCCTGCTTTTCCTGGTCCTTATACGAATGCCATTGTCCTTCAGGGCCATGCCACGTCTGGCCCGCCTCCTCCACGACGTCTTCTCTGACCTCCCCAGTCCACCCTGTGACATTTACATCTCACGATCCAGCACGTGAGGACAATGCTCCCACGTCCTGAGCTCCTTTAACATGCTAGAATTCAACGCTGGGCGTTTGGAAAGGAAAAGAAGGCAGCGGGGGGAGGGCGCGGAGGAGGGAGAGCGGGAAGCTGGGGCAGAGGCTTACGCACTCCAGATGCTTCCATCGATGGAGACATCAGTCCACTGATCTGTCCCCCTCGGGATGATGAGTGTGATTCTGCGTGTGTGCCCGCATTTAGAAATAGAAAAGTCTAGAACGGAGATATCTATTTTTCATATGACATGACTCTTGAATATAAGCCAACAACTTCATCCTGTGGGCAACTGCATTAACGGTGATGTGTCTCCTCTGGAAGGAAACTGACTGTGCTGAGCTCCAACAAGACACGGACCAAGGTCACGCGTGCTGCACACGGAGGGTGACTTCAGGATCTGTCAACCAATTCACTGACTTAAACCACAAACCCCTCGTGTTATTAAGAAATTATTATACATTTGAGGGACACTTACAATTACTGTGGTTATGGCTTTTTAAAAGGATCCATATCTTAGAGACATACACTGAAATATTTACAGAAAAATGGTATATCTAGGATTCACTTCATAAGAGTCCACTGGCTGATTCTGAGGGGGACGTTGGTAGAGAGATGAAGGGAACAAGAGCGGCCATATGTTCACGGCTGTTGCACGTGGGCGTCGAGTACATAGGGGTTCCTTGTGCTAGCCTCTCTACATCTGTGTATTTTTTTTAACTTTCCATTTAAAAATGTTTACAATCTGTTGTCTCCCCAAGCAGGTGGTAGGTTCCTTAAAAGTAGGCCCTCAATTTGTCTTAATCTACTTGTGTTTCTTGTAACATAGCAACACTCTGAAGAACAGACCATAAGCATTTCTCGACGAGGGGGAAGTGGGGAGCCCCGGGAGGATGGCCTACAGAGAGAGAGGTGTACCTCATGATACTGCAGGTCTCGTTCGGCATTTGCCCTCAGGTGCCTTAGTTCCTCCTTCGTGTCTTCCAGCTCCTTTTGGACAAGCTCACATTTTTGGTCGACGCTGAGGCTCGTCACGCGGTCCACACCTATGCGGGATTTGGACCTGCGCCTGCTTCGCAACTACACCTCAAGAGAAACAAAGCCGTTGTAAGTAGGAATTGGTAACAAAGCAGCCTTTGGTGGGCATCAAAATGACCACCCTGGCCTGCTAGAAATTCCTTGAATGCCAGCCAGAGAGAACAAATTCAATGCGAAAAGATTCTGGATATTAGGCCTGAGGTGATGTTTATTTCACAAGCCAACCTAAAGCACTGAGCTAAATACTTCAAGGCCTGTGCTTAACAATGAACTAAAAAGAAATAAGGGAAAGTGTCTCAAGGATGGAGAGACTGTGAACCTGCTACAGATTAGCCCTCAGGTCAATGTCAGGAGAAGCCTGGAGCCCAGTGCTTCCTGAACCGAACAAAGAAGGAAAATTGCATGGGTGGGGGTGGGGGTGGGGAGGTATGATGTTCGGCAAAAACAAACAAATAGACAAAAATGTTGGATTTCCTTTGCATTTAAGCCGAAGGTCACAAGCAGCCCCAGGGAATGTGTGGGCCTCCAGATGGGATTGTTTGGCCCTCAAATAATAGACTTACAGTTTTAAATTTAAAAAAATTAATGACCCGCCAAAGTAATCCAGATCTCCAGCTTCTCTTGAAAATCAACTGCTCTGGCAATATCGGGCCACCTGGCTGGCCCTTTCGGACAAGGGAGAAATTCTCCAGTGCCCACACCTGGCCCACTCCACCTCTTTATGTTGCTGGCTGAGCCATGAAAACATTCGAGTCCCCCCATTTAACGGAATTGTTTCAAATCAACTAAGATGTTCTGGGAGAATCAATCCACTCTTAATTAAACTGATTCCCTTCACACAAGAAACCTTGAAAGAGAAGGAAGAGTCACTAGAACACAGAGAAAGTCATATGCCACTTGGCCGAACAGGGCGCACGAAAGGCAGATACGCAAATACGACTTGCATCTAACAGAACAATTCTTCGAGCTCTATCGTGTACCTGTGTAAAATCTGGTCCTGATATCTTCATTTCTGATATTCTTAATTTCTGATCCCTAGGTTCCAGTTTGTTGTAATATTTTTCAAACATCTCTGTCTCAGTTTTGAGAGCAGAGTTTCCATAGCTGCAAGACAGAGGATAACCGAGTAAATTCTATGAACATGAGTTTCCACACCAAATAACTAGTATTTAACACTTATTAGCTATGTATGACATTCTGCAAGATATTTAACCTCTTGGTGCCTCAGTTTCCTCATCTGTAAAATGGGAATGATAACAGCAGCTAACTTTTAGGGTCGCAATAAGGAATACAAAGCCTTCGGGACAGTGCCTGGCTCACAGTGAGTGCTATATAAGTGTTTAAAATATTTTTTCAATACATCTAATGGGCCACAAACTCAAAGCACTGGGATTATACTGGAAACTGTGGCTGAGATGAAGCTACAAGTTTCATCTTCAAGTTTCTTCTGACACATTTGTGAAATTCCTTCTGAATTACTACAGTCTTGAAGTTACATATATCCACAATCTTCAGATGTTTTCTTTGGTTTATATTTCTCGGGTTTTTAAATTTCCAGCAACCAGTAGATGAAATATTCACTGGAAGTTTATTATAAATGATAGAGAAGCTTTCAATAAATGGTTTTTAAACAAGTGGAGATGACAGACCTAGTTTATTCTGTATATGCTGAGATTAGGACCTTTTTAACTTAATATATACAGTTATACATAACAGTTATAAATGTTATTATTATATGTAACATATGGAATAATTGCATATATCCTTAATACACATATGTATGCATACATATACATAAGAGAGAACAGCTTTGATATTTTCATAAGTTATTGAGCTAATTCCTGTTTGGCTAAATTTTAAGATTAGTGGAAAAGGCTGGATGGAAAGCCCAATAAATCAAAGCATCTTTCTTTTTCAGCATATGTCATGTTCCCACTGCAGGCTGTGGAGTCACACCTGAGTCTGAATCCCAGCACTACCACTGACTAGCTGTGTGGCCTTAGGAAAGTGACTTGACCTCTCTGCCTCCTAGGGTTACCGTGCCATTCATTATATAAGGTCTTATATGCAAAGTACTTGGCACATTATAAGCACTCAGAAAATGGTAGCTATTAGTAAACTATTTATAGGTGTATATAAGTAACATCTATTCAGCTGCCAGAGCCAGGATATTCCGCATGAGACCAATATGTTGTACCATTACTTCAACTACACCATGGGATCTTGATATGCAATTTATTTGCTACATAGTAGATATAAAACAGACTGCTAAAAGTACAGAATATTGGGCAAGTCATTCTTTGTTGTCCTTCTCCATGCTTATACCTTGGTTCAGGCATTTAGTATGCCTCATACTAAAAACATCTCAACAGCCCCCTTTCAATCCTGTTGCCACATTAATTTTATCAGAGAATCTTAGCCATTGGAGAGGAGCTTAGAGGTCACCTGGCCCCACGCCCTCACCCTTCCACCCTGTCCTGGCTCCAACGACGTCTTGCTAGTTCAGTGACGGTGCAGACACGGGGCTAAAGAGCAAAGGCAAGTTCCTTCCTCACAGTGGGGGGTCTCACTCTCTTCAGTGTTAAATGCGGACTTGGATCGTCTCCGTGCTGGACCGAGGCCACAAGGGGAGAAGGGGCCGCTCCCAGAAGCCGGCCAGCGGGTACCTGAACTCTTCTACCAGCCCGCACAGCTGGATAATAGGCAGCTCGTTGTCTTCCTCGACATGCAACTCGGTGGTAGACGTCCCGCTGTCATCTTCAGACATCATTCTAACGAAGTGGCCCTTGCCAGTGCCGAACGCGGCCAAGAGCGCCGGGAGGTTAGCGCCTTCGTCTAACTTCGATCGCGACCCAGCGGTGCGTTGCCGGGGCGACTGGACGCATGCGTAGTGGGCGAGGATTCAGAAGGCTCCGCCCACTCCCTTCCCCTCTCCCAGACCTTCACGCTGACCAGAGCGAGGTTTCTGGCCTTGACCCGGCACGTGAGCACGTTCGTTCACTTTTACTCCTTCAACAATAATTCTTAAATGATAATAATAGCAGCAACTGTTTGCTCAGTACTTACTATCCCCTTGACGCCGTGTTAAGCATAGTTTATGAAAATCCTTGCAACAACCTTGTAATTGTATCTATAATTCTCTATTCTCCAGACGAGGAAATTGAGACCCAGAAAGTTAATGCGAACTGTGAGGCCTCTACCCTCTTCACCACCTGATGCTTCATGCATACTAACTGCAGTTTCTCTGAGATACTAATATCCTGCATTCCTGGAAGGAAAAACCCTGGCTGAACATTAAATGGGTATAAATTCAAGAGACAGCCTTAAATAGGCTCTGAACACGTCCTAAGAATCCTGGGAGAATGTATAAAGCAGACCCTTAAGGAGCTTCCAGTAAAACGGGGGAAATAGTCCCCAAACAGCTGTTGCAACCTCTAGTGATAATAGTAACAAAAGGGCGCCTCACACCGTTTAGTGGTCATCATCTCGTATAATCCTCAGAAGTCTTATGAAATTGGTATTGTCTTCGTCTTACAGATCGGGAAACTGTGGAATAGAGTAACTTAGATGAGTTACCTGGGCCACACGGGAACGGAATCGAGCTCCAGCAGAACCCAAAGTCCATGCTGGTAACTGATGTGGGTCATGGCGAGGATGGGCAAGGTGGCCGGGCGGCCTTCTGTCTGCTCTCATCGGAGTGGAAGAGGGCAGGATAGGAGAACTTCTCTGAGGGAGGGTGGGCGCCGAATGTGGTCAGAAAGCAAGCTGTGATAAACTGCATGGGGTGAGGATCACCCCCTTTCTAGCCCATGGAACATGTAGTCACTAAACTCCAAAAGACATTTGTTTTGCTTCTTAAGGAGCACAAGTTTGGGGCCAGAGTGGATTACTGGAGATGACAGCAGGGAGGCTGACCTCTGCCACCATCTTCTTATCTCTGCTGGTAGGCCTCTTTGGGCTCTGGTTGCAATGCAGACCATGTTTAGAAATCTTTAATATGCTCACATGCCAAGCGATACAAATGGCTGCCAGTCCCAAGAAGGCCCAGGGCAAGAAAGGGCTCTGCAGCAGTTCCAGGCTATGGCGGGACAAGGCCTCTCTCCTGGGCCGTAATGCAGGAG